AATACCAGCGCAAAATAGTAGCTTATTGCTGCTTTGTTTCATGTGGTGAATCTAGCGTACCGGAGACCTTTTTTACTGGAAACAAGGCATTCCATCTTGGTCCTCAGGGGTTACAACTCATCTCAGCATTTTGATTCTTAATCGAGGATAAATGTCTATGGGTCATTATCATCTATTTACCATCCAGTGGACTGTGTGGCCGTTTGACTCTTATTATATTTAAAAAAACATTAAAAATTACTAATTGTAATTTCAGTGCTACCGACACCGAGATTAAATTCAGGTGACTACGTGCTATGAAAGTTACGAAGAGCGTTTAATAATGAATCTACATAGATCAGAAAAAGACAGTATATATTACATTTCCGTCAAATCAAGAGAACACAACTTCCTTGTCCTCTTCAACACTTTAAAAACGTTCCGGAATCGGAAATAATAGGGTAACTCCATTCAGTACGGCTTATTTTCGTAAACGTGTGGCCTAGAACATCGTCGTAAAGAAGCTGAATTTTGATGAGAGATTTCCGCGATCATTCTCCTTGATAGCTCAGGCATTGGTCTGTGTTTCCGATTATAGTATATTTATGTCGCATTCACTCCAACGTCAAATTTTTATTTCATACGCAAACTATCAAATCATTATTGATGGCTTAAATCTTTTCAGATCTCATATTACAAACGCGCTTGTATAGAGTTGAGAATAAAGCCGTCAAGTATTATACGAAACACAGCATAAATAGGCTGCTATTTGACACTGGTATTCTGGTTTTTTTTTGTGACAAACCAGCATATAGTCCACCTGATGGTAAATTGATGCTGGATATACATCTACATTTATCCTCGATTAAGAATCAATAATTTGTCATCACTGAGGACTAAGATGGAATGCCTCATATCCAGTTAAAAAAAGTCTCCGATTCTTTACACTCACCATACGAAACACAGCGGCATGGCTCTACCACATTCTGAGCGAGCAGGGTCGCGACGACGCATTCCTGCTGCAGCCATAATACACATAACAGAAATTTAACTCTACCACAAAGTACGTATAGGTATACAGGGGTTACAGGTTAAGTCGTTCCTTTAGGGGGTTGTAGTTTGCATCATTACCGACTGTTTCGACTGTGAAACACCATAACCCAAACTTAACCGTTTTCGAGATATTGGATATTGGTTGTTTGTTTGTGCAAATTTTTTTATTGGACAATTTTTTTTTTGTAATTTGTACATCTTGTTTTTTCTTATAATTTGTGTTTAGTAGATAAGTTTCATTATTAATTTAAACACCAAGATCTTAGGTATATAAATAATCTGGGTGGTAGTAGACAATCGATAGTTGAAAAAAATTCTTCAAGTTATTTTTTCTTTGAGCAATATTTAAAAATCTTTAGCAGGTATGTTGCAGGTGTACTTAAAAATATCTACAATTTTTTCAGCTATCCAACAAAGTATAACAATATAGGTTATTACCAAAATTCCTAGAAAAAACTTAGATGGAACGATCACAGGTAGTATTAAAAAATAATACTCATGCGTCAAATTAATCACATGGCTCTACCCATTATATAACGCTTTTCCTGAAATGTGCAGGGCAACCCTCATGCGGAAGTCACATTTCTCCAATTTGATTGAGTGCTAAATCATCCAGTAAGGCGGATAAATCTCGTCTTAAAAAGTTTTCGTTCTCCATTTAAATTGTAAGGTACAAAGTGAAGCTCAAACAAACGGTTCGATATTATACCTATCCATATATTTAAGCTGAATCTTCTTTGTCGGGGGTTCCCTTTATCCGCTTCTTATTGGGATTTACCTGTTCTATCGCGGCTTAATAATGAGCATTGTCGTAATTGGTTATACCATCTTTATCAAATTTGGACTCATCTGTTTCATAAGATATTACTCAGAAATGATGGGTCTTTTAAATCTGCATTCATCATGAATTTGCAGAAATCGAACCTACTCAAAGGATCTTCTTTTTCGATAACTTGTACTGGCGTGTAGTGATATACGTATAGGCCCGCGGTATGGATATTAAGCTCCACTTTTTCACTGCGAGAGTCCCAAGTTCTCGGACAACAATGTTAGTAGAAGTAGTTGGATCCAATCTTAAACGTCGAACTATCTCCTTGAATCCACACGCAAAATACGCGCTTAGACGTGGAGTTGCGGAAAACAGCCCGTCGTAAACTAAACTAAACTAAACTATCTCATTGTCTTGCTCTTCGTCATCATCAATGACACATAGTCTACGCAGGTTTGTTCGTCGCCTTGAAACAGAGCCAGTCGTCGACAAATTCTGTCAAACACACTGGCACTCGACTGACGGGATAATGCTATGTATTCATCACTAGCTCGTGCGGATACACAATTGCAGTATCCGTAACAAATCAAAATATCAGCATATTCCTCGTTCGTAAAGGTCGTCATCTTCAACGATTAAATATCAAAAGCACAAATCAAGGTCAAGTTAGCGAGCACAGTCACGAATCGCAAGAAAATCAGCCCAGAAATACAAGCCAAGTCGAGTAGGAAATAGAAACCACTGAGTATCGCATCTACCACTTACGAATCACGTAAGTAGACTAATAAACTAAACACAAAAACACCAAAACGGCTTGTTGAACTCCCAGCACCGTTACTTTTTACTACTACCTGTGAGCCTTTCATCCTAGGTTTTTCCAGGAATTCGGATAAACCTTAGACTGTTATACCTTGTTGGATAGCTGAAAAAACGTAGATATTTTAAGTACTTACATCTGCAACATAACTGCCATATTTTTTTAAAATATTCCTCAAAAAAATACTTTGAACAAATTTATTTCTTTTTTCAACTATCAACCGTCTAGGACGACCGAGATTGTTTATATACCTAAGATCTTGGTGTTTAAAATAATAAAGCAACTTATCTAATATACAAAAATTATAAGAAAAATAAAACAAGATGCACAAATTACAATAAAATTAGTACAATAGACAAAATCTTGGCAATTTTTATAACAAAAAACTTAAATATTCAATATCTTGAAAACAGTTAAGTTTGGGTTATGGGAATTTATAGTCGAAACAGTCGGTAATGATGCAAATCACAACCCCTAAAGGATCTAGGTCGACTTAACCTATAACTATAACGACGTTATTATATTGACGTTAATACCATATCCATTCCAGTCCAGTAGCTTGAAAACGTCTTCCAATGCAGTGGTGAAGAGTTTCGGGGAAATAACGTCACCCTGTCTTACACCTCTCTGCAGTTGGATAGGTATCGTATTCTGGTTCTGTACTCGAATAGAAATCGCAGCCCTACTGTACAAACACTTCAGCACTTCGACATACCGACAGACCACTTGGCATCGCTGAATGGACCGCAGCACCGCCTAAATTTCGATGGAATCAAAGGCTTTCTCATAGTCCACGTGCGCAACTTTAATACAGCTCGTATTGAAGAAGCGGTTGAGTAGAAACAGGGCTCTAAAGTCTTTGCCAGAAATCTGTCTGCCAGAAAAAGCCAACTGTCGAAGCTGAAGACCGTAGCAGCATCATTTCCGGGATACCTAAGTTTCTGAGTAACATTGAGAGGTTCTATGGGCAACTGTGCACGTCATCGTTGGAGCCACACGCAAGTGTGATGCAAGAGCAGGTCTTATCCGACACTATTCCGATGATATACCGGACTTCAGTCTAAACAAGATTAGAATAGGTCTCCAGTACTTTAAAAACGGAAAGTCCCCGGGCAAGGATGGAATTACAGAGGAGCTTCTGAAAGCGGGCGGAAAACCGATACTCAGTCCTTCAGAAGCTCTTTAATTCCGTCCTCCATGGTGGCACTACTTCGAAGGTGTGGAGCAGAAGTGCGGTGGTCTTGTTCTGGAAGAAAGGCGACAACGCTTTCTAGAAAAATTACAGACCTGTTTCCCTTCTGAGCCGCGTCTACGTGCTGTTTTGGAGTCATTATTGTCTCGCACGCAGACTCGACGACTTTCAGCCTCCTCAACAAGCCGATTTCCGAAAAGACTATAGTGTCATAGACAACATCCGTACCCTTCGGCAAATTATACAGAAGTCTGAAGAGTACAATCTGCCACTTTGTCTTTCGTATGTGGACTATGAGAAAGCCTTTGAGACACTCTTATCCCAAGAATGTTGAAAAATATTAATAAATAAAGTCATAAATTACTCCTTCGGATTGTCTACGATTATAGCGCAGTTTCCGATTAGTATGCAAGTGTTCGTAATCTCACTGAATTTTCTGTGTTTAGACTTTGCGACATTCCGTTTTAACAAAAATTTTAAATATCTGTAATTTTTTTTGTTTAGTATTTTATTTTTTTTAATTTTTTTAATAATGTGAGGACTTTTTTGTATCGTAACATTATTTTCCTATAGCTCTTTATATATGAATAGAATCACTGTAAATACTATGACCATAACTGACACGCCTTGAGAAAAGTTCACCTAGATGCCCAGTAGCAGATTATTACGTGCCAACAATGATAATAATTTTGAAAACACTAAAAACAAAATTGTAGGGTTACACTTAGAATATGACATAAGTTAAGTTATTATAAATGTTATAGTAGTATGTTTGATTAGTTCATTAACATCAAGTTAGTACACGAATGGAATTTTATAAGCAAGATGACACAATAAGTAAGAGAAGCAAAAACATAGGTATTTATGTAATGACTAAGCAAAAAAGGCATTATTGAATGTCATTATTTATCTTCTTGTTAGACATTACATTCTAATGAATGGAAATTTAAGACATTCCACTTTATACTCTTATAAATTATCTTCATGAGGACATTACGCTTCATTAGTCTTACTTTTTTATTCTATTAACCAAGAGTATGTTTTTTTTTGTTTCAACATATTTTATGATAACTGTATGATAATGAACTAAGAATTAGAAACCAATGAACGAAAAACAAACAAAAAAGATAATTAACATATTTTTGTTCTTTTTTTTCGGTTATAATGGATAATAAAATTGTAATACATACAACTTTGAACCTCGAGCGCAGCACACCGAGTTTGCCGAAGCGAACGTGAAACGGCGAGCACGTGAAGCTACCATCTGGCTGCTCTACCACCACCACGTCGATGGCGCCGGTCAGCGTCGCACTATTGATTTCGTTGTAGAATTCCCGGAAGTTCGCAATGAACTTGCCGATATAGTTCATAGAATACATGGCGGTCGTTATATTTATCACACGTCTATATTAACACCACACACATATCACCAGCACTATCTTAAATCCAATAACACTAAAATGTCAATCAGCGATTACCCCATTTCGTCTCTTCGTTAAGAGTTCAAAACAGCAAAGCCCTGAAACAAAGTAAAAGCAAACTATAACATGGCTTGCTCAAAAATTTTACATAATAACTGCATGCATAAATTTAAAAATGATAATCTCAAAATGAAAATAAAACTAATTAATAATACTTTTATTATTACATGTTTTTGTATTTATCGTTGTAATTATTATTTTAACTTATTTGGTACAGACAACAGGCAAAATAGTAGTAGTAATATTGAAATAGTAGGAGTCAATGAACAAATAGGCAACGAGCGCCGGATGTCGTAAATGTAACACGCTCATTGCACCGAGGCGCTATCAAAGCAAACTACAGAAATTTAATCAAATACCTAATTAACCCGTGGTAGCTCAAAGGCAAGCGCTCTCTCTAAAATTTTACAGTACGCGAGCAAACCGGGTTCGATCCCCGCCGGCACCAATGATTAAAATGCTGGACGGTGAAGAAAATTATGCAAAGTCCAACAAGACGGACTGTAACAGCATGGCAGACTATTTGCTCCAAATAAAACCCTCTTAAAAATTAGAGGAGGAATGTATAGAAGCTGTAATTTATATATCCGGGAGTAAAACACATTAACACAAATTGTTTACGAACGTTCAGTAGTTAGCACACGACACACGAATAAGGTTCCCTCTCACCTATACTACCACTGACTTTCTCGATTCCATCCGAATCCGAAGTATATTTCAGGGATCACCATTTTTAATTAGCAGGTGTTGGATTTATCTTCCTAAGGCTCTTATGCCCCATTTACATTCAGCCTTGCTGGGCAGGGAAGTTAGCAGGGAAGTGAGCAGGGCAATATGTAAATAGACTACTCGCGCTGCCACTGCCACTGCCACTGCCCGGCGCTATCTCAATTGTCGGTTTTTCGCGCGGAAGTCAAAAGACGGGCATTGCGAGCGGCATTCATTGTTCACATTCTGCTCACTTGCCGCCGAAGTTCGACCGAGAAAGAACGCGCTACGTTTAAAAACGTCAATTCGTTTATTAATCTGTCCAGTGTTTTAATGATATTTAGTAATGATAAAGGTGATAAAGGTGGTAAGTCAATGGTGCCCTGAATGCATTAGTAAAAAGGCAAGGCGTGGTGAAGAGTGCACGCCTTGCAATACATAATGCAGTGTTGGTACCGACTTTGTTATATGGCAGCGAAACCTGGGTATGCCAGAAGAAGCATAAAAGCAAGTTGAATGCAGTGGAGATGCGATCTCTTCGTAAAATGTGTGGCGTTACCTTAGCCGACCGAAAGCGAAACGAAGAGATTCGCAATATGGCAGGATTGAAAGATGACCTTATCACAAAAATTGATAGGGGCGTACTCCAATGGTTTGGGCACATTGAACGAATGAGTGAAGACCGAATGCTGAAGAAAATATATAGAGCGAAAGTAAATATTAAAAGGTGTCGAGGTAGACCGAGACTAACTTTCGAAGACCATGTGAGCAAATTGCTCGAAGAGGGGAGGGTCAAGAGTACTCGGATACCTAGACGTGCATGTATGAAGAAGTTAATGAACCTGAAAGAAGCGAAAGAGGTATGTAAGGATCGTGACACTTGGCGATCTGTTCTCTCTGGCTACCCCGTTAGGGATTGTGCGTGAAGATAAGTAAGTAAGTAAGTAAGTAGTAATGATAAAACAATAAAAAAATTAGAATTGTATGTAATGCAGCGGGTAATATAAGATCCTCATGATAAAAACCATAAATTCCACGTATTAGCTTATATTATACTGAACGTATTATATTATACTGAACAGACATAATGCTGTCACACCAAATTCGACGTCAGTCATTGTTGAGAGTGGATCAATAAAGAAGTATGAAGTTTGAGTGTGAACACCCACTCGCGTCGTTATCGCCGCAGAAGTATTTAGGGAAATATTTCCGGCAGCGACAGGAGCAGTAGCATTGGCTGAGTGTAAATGGGGCATTATTAACAACATTGTCAAGATTGTTAATATGTTTCATGAAGCTCGAGAGCCATGAATACTGAAACTCACTAAACAGAGCTTGTATTATATTATGGTACCTATCTACATAATAAAGGACAGAGCTAATGTGGAATTTAGTAACACTGAGTTGACATTATAGCACTGAAATTTAAAATACGGCAGTGGATCCTAAGGAGAATTATATTTATACGATACTATGAAACAATGACTGCAATAAATCTTCAAAAGACACACTCAGAGCGATTTGGCAGATTTTATAAAAGCACGTGGCACTGGCGTGTGTCGCTACACTGTACACTTGCAAATAGGGGACTCTGTCCCCATTACTAGATACAAATATACATAATATTATGTAGCTCCACTGTGACTAATTCACGGGAATAGCAAACTATAATAATATTTTTGAAGAAGTTTCTTTATTATCAACTGTCATGCGAATGTAATCACAGAATACTATTGCAAAACAATAATGTCACGTAATGTTATTGTAATTGTGAATAATATTTCTGCCATATAGGTATCATAGAATGTTAACACGCATAAGGTATGATAAAGAAAACATCTGTGCAATTTAAAAAAAAAGGTGTAACCGGTTTCACCATATACCAAATCACATTTCGTATTCCTTTTTAGGCGTGAAGATATTTACCATCACGTGAAAGAACTAACAATACGTTTTGTGATCGTTTTTCGTTTAATATTTGGTTTTCAATTTGGTCACAACTTGAGAAGGACAGGTGTCCCTGGTTTATACGTCAAACGCGATAGCATCAAGTGCCAAGTCTTATTTTAGCCGTCAAGGATTTCAAGTTCAATGAATGTGGTATGTCAGTCACACTGAAATATACATAATAGAAGTATGAAAATCTTTAGTTTAATATTTATTAGTTCATATTTGGCAATGACTAAAGTTTTCTTAGAAAAAGAATACTAGCAGTCCCATTAGCACTACTGCACTCAAACTAATCTTATTACATGCTTACACTAAGAATAGTGCTGTGTTTCGTATGGTGAGTATAGAGAATCGGAGAACATACGTGGTAGAGCCATGTTGCAGTTATATTAGTAGTATAGTTGTAGCACGAATGGGTCGGCTCAGTCGGGGAAGGACCACGCTCTCACAGAATACCAGCGTAAAATAGTAGCTCAATGCTGCTGTGTTTCCTATGGTGAGTGTAGAGAACCGGAAGCTAGGGCAAGCCCAAGATATAAATTGATAAAAATATAGATTGTTATTTTTAGCAGTTTTATAAAAATACACCAATCTTGATCTGTCTCCACGCTTCAGTTTCATATTCAGTGCTGTCAAGGACGTGTTTAACAAAGCACACAGAAGGCATACCACTGCTAGATAGATTGTATTACATATCAGCAATTGCATAGCTTCGGTAGCTTTGAAGAAAGCCGTTTGGGTTTGTTTAAGCGAAAGAAAAAAAATATTTACATCCAATACAATACATGAACAAAAGTAAAACACGAACAAAGTACAAACTATGTACAAAATTAAAAAAAAAATATTTACATTCTAATGGATAAGAGATAAGATAAGTGGAATCGTCTCGCTTTCTTATGGAAAGATTTAATTACGTCCACGTAAAATGTTGGTGAACGTTTTAATTGTACCAATAACTGTTTTTAATTACGATAATTGATAAGTCTGAAATACACTCTTAACCTTGTGTATTATCTCAACAAAGTTTAAAGATTTCCTCTCCGATTATCACTTTAACACACTTCAATTCATCACAAGGAACGCTATTATCCTTCATTTTCATTAAAAATCTTTAAAAAAGCATAAATTTTGAACTCGTAATAATAAATCGCTTAAGATAAGCACACAGAGTAAATAAACATTGAAACGTGAAATGAACTTGCAAACGTATTGCCCGCGCGCCTCCGCTTTTAACAAATTTATTCCCAAAAGCCTGGCTTTAAATCTCTATACTAATTGCTATATATACAATCGTAGTTATGTTTCATTATAGAATATTTTGCCATAGGTTAGAAAGAGAGTGATCGTCTTCTCGAAAGCCCCGTAAAAAGCCCACGCGAACGAGGGAGACAACTAGTAGCTCTACTATTAACTCATTTTTATGACAGCAGCAGTATCGCTAAGGCAATACGAGGTCATCGGTCGACATGTGTAGAACAGTGGAGTGCGCGGGAAATTTGAAATAACTTGAAACATTTTACGAGTTATTTTATTAGTTGATATTATTGATTGATATTATTGATTGATTCAGGTTTAATAAGGCAAGCCCGGCTTTTTGGCTTTAATGGAAGCTTCGCCACTGCACATGCATCTGCTTTTTTGATTCTTAATCGAAGATAAATGTAAATGTCTGTGGGCCACAGCATCCACTTACTATCAGGTGGACTGTGTAACGAACACACAATATATAAAAGAAAGTAATCGAATGACGGATTCGAACCCACAGCTTTTGAGTTCGCGTTCCATATCCTTAACTTTAAGGCTCGCTCTTACGTCATAGGAATAATAAATTCCTAATTTTATTCTTAAAACTGATTGAGAATAGGCTAGTAATAGAGCTAATAATAAACGTTGACCTCAACTTTTTTGATTCACATAAGAAACGACCCAGATAATATTGAATTGCGGTCAACCGTATAAGCAAATTGATTAAATTAGTTATTTTTGCTACAAGCTTCACCATCATAAATTTAGCACACACTGTTATAGCTTACAAGTATGGTTTTAGAAATGAAATACGTAGTCATGACATGATGTAAAACAACAATAAGTATGAAAACCTTTGTAATTGTAACTCATGCGGATGTATCACTTTGACGTAGATAAATAACTCACGTGGTCCCGAGATTCTTCTCAAATCGGGCCAAAATCAGTTTTCTTTTACTTTCAATATATTCTTAGTAGCAACCCGGGGTTAGAAT